TACTTTTTAAATTAAAATGTAATTGTATAACTTTCCCCCTTCCTTTCTCTGTTTCCTAAGTGTCCCATGTATCCCCTTTCTCTTTTGCAAATTCATGGCCACTTTTTCTTTAATTAATCATATGTGTATGTATTCCATATATATATATATGTGTGTGTGTGTATAATATTCCATATATATTCCTAATATATAAAATATCCCTAATATATATATTATATCCCATACACACACACACACACACACACACACACATATAAATATATATGTATAATTTCCTCAGTCTGTATAATATTACTTGTAAGTATATGATTTCAGGACTGACCATGGTATTGGGAACCAGTAGGAGTGGGGAGGGGTCTTCCCTGAGAAAGACGATTTCTTCTGCTTCCAGCATTCTGTAGTTGCCTATATTTCATGGGGCTTGGAGCCCCGTGAGATTTCCTCCTTCCATGTTAGCATGTCTATCGGTGTCATCCTTGTTTGGGTTTTTTGGGGGGCAGCCATATAGATGGAATTTTGTGGGTGTTGCTTCTTTTGACATTTCTAGAAGACACAATCTCATGACACATTTCCTGTTCCTTTAGAACTTCCAATCTTTTAGCCTCCTCTTCTGTTCTGATCCCTGAGCCTTAAGTGCAGAAGCTGTGGGCTGGGCACAACATGATCACTTTTTCTCTCCATTTTAGTTGTTTGTGGTTTTCTGTAATGGTCTCCATCTGTTGCAAAAAGAAGATTCTTTGATGAGAGGTGAGACCTATATTTATCTGTGGGTGTAAGGAAAAATATTTAAAATGTAGTTAGGAATTGTGCTGGTTTAGTAAAATGCTGGGTGTAGCATTTCCTCCAAGATCCGTGCCTCCACTAGCCCCAGGGCATGATTTTCTCTTTTTGAGTGAGCCTTATGTTCAAATGGAGAGCTGTTGGTTATCACCAAGGTTCTCATGCCACTATTGTACCCTTAGGGATATTTTGATATGCTGGTCCTTGTTGTTCATAAGCATGTAATTGCTTTTTCTTTCCTTCCTTTGAAGTTTGCTTGGCACCTTTTAGTACTGGAAAGGTAGTCCTCAAGAAGGAAGCTTTTATTTCAGATCCAGCTTGGAACTTTTGAGTCCCGTGTTTGTAGTACATGGTGTTTTATGTTCAACCTTCGGGAGGTGACTAAAGACAACAGCCATACCCTAAAATCTTTTTGAAGTCTCTTGGACCACCTTGACCACCAACATTATTTACCTCTTAATAAACCATTTCTCTAGTAAGAAGGTCAGGACTTTGAATTTAGGAACTACATTGACGGATATAGTCTCATATCTGAGCTAAGCCCTGGGTACATTGGTTAGTCCAGAAGCTAGGACATTTTTCTTTATTAGCTCTGAGTAACATTTGAAATGCTGTACATGTTACAGAAGACAAGCTGGCATACATATGAAACAGCCACTCTGACTTCTACACTTTATCACTCCTTCTTTAGATAAAGATGTGGACAACAGTCTTTTCCAGCAAAATAAGTGTTTTCTGTATCAATTCAACTAAGGGCTATTTATAACCATCTCTAAATTTTTACAATTTACTTTCCTTAAGACTTACTAACCTCTATCTATATTTCAGTGGAACATAGAAACCTGTGTAACCACACCCAGTTTGCTACTAGCATGACACCAACATGCTCATCTGGAAGAGTAATTTATGGCTGGGGAAAGAGGTAGACAAGGAAGAAAGGGCGATGGGTACTGCCAGCCCTGTTGCTGTTGCTGCTGCTGCTGCTGCTGCTGCTGCTGCTGCTGCTGCTGGAGGAGGAGGAGAAAGAGGCCTTTGGAGGATGCTCAGGAGAAATGAACAGAAGTGCTGGGTTGAGAGAGGACAGATGGGTGGTGGCCAAAACTGGCAAATGGAACAGAGAAGCCAGTAACACAGAGATAGCCCAAGAAAATCATGCCAGGAACAGGGAAATTTAGGCAAAGTGAGTAAGTAAAAATGAGAGCAAATTGTTAAAGTACCATGTCTCAGTTTAATTGGAAACCCAAAAGAAGGACAGAGACAGAGTTCAACCTTCATCCTTGGTGCCCTGTTCCTCTCTCAGGCTGACTTTAATCCCATCCAATCCCACTCCTTCTCTAGTTTCTTCTCTTCTCCCACACCCCTATTTATTGAAACATTTCCACAATGAAAGATTTTCATTATGTCACCATCACCTCAAACATCAGTAAAAACATAATGCCATTATTTTAATAAACAAGAAAAGAAAAGAGAATGTGAGTAAATGCGGGGAAACCAGGCAAGAGCCCAAAGCATCACGTCTCCAGAAAGCGGCTGAAGGAATATCCCTCTGATCAATCCAGCAGCACCTCATGGAGCTTGGATGATTGCTTGTGGCAGAGAACTATTTTTCCAATATATTACAAATAAATAAAACTACCATTTAAAAACTCCTTTCTCCAAAGCATCTTAGGATCTACAGTGTGACCTTTTTTATTTCTTTGCTTTCCTTCCTCATTTTAGTTCCGATCCAAGAAACACAAAAATTATCCCTTCTGGGATTTCCATTTCCTGGGTTCAGAATGCCAGCACTTTCTATGCATGGGTTAAATAAATGACACAAACAGCATGGTTGGGAAGCAGTGCAAACAATTGAGGGGTCATCCTGTCCTAAAAAAGTTGAAAAAAAGTGAAAGTTGGGAGTGTCCAGTGCCTATGGCTCATATGGTAGAATAGCAGCCATGAAACATAATCCTAAAAGAAATTTGAAACCTATGTCTGCCTGGCATACATAAAAAGTTGGTTTTAGATTTTCCTCTTTTGAGTCTGGCACAACATGACCACTGTTGGAAGCATTTAGTAAGTTTAAGGACTACTGAGGTCTGGTTTAGTTGCTCCTTCTGAAATTACATAAATACTTACAATATACTCATTCTGTATAATATTACTTGTATATATGTTTTCAAATGTGAACATTTGATATTGGATTGCTGTGTTATTCCCTGGGGAAGATGATTTCTCCTGTTCTTGGCCTTCCTAAGTTTCTTGTTATTCTATATGTACAGTTGAGGCCTTGTGAAATTCTGCCCATCACTACCCCTGACCCCCAACTCCTGTCCATGTTGATATGTCTATTGGAGTCATCCTTGCCAGGTCATGGTCATGTTTAGGCAGCAATACTGGCAAGACTTAATGTGTGTAGCTTCTCTGACATTTCTATGAGACACAATATCATGACAAACTCCCCTTTCCTCTGATTCTTATGGTCTTTCCATTCCTCTTTTCAGTAATGTCCTCTTCTTTAAGGGCATGGATGAAGAAGTTGTGGTGTAAATGTATACCTTGGAACCACCCTATCCCATTCACTGGTCTCTGCATTGTGATCAGTTACGGTTTTCTGTGATGGTCTCCATTTGCTGTAAAGAGGAGCTTCATTGATAAGGGGTGATAGAATGCTTTAAGAAAGCTTGATGATTTAGAAAGTGATGGTAGTAGATTGTTTTCTAAGATCTATGAACTTATTAGCCCCAGGAGGCTAACTTTCCAGTATCAGGCATGATTCTCCTCCGTAATTCCAATTACACAGCTGTTGGTTACCACTGATGTTTAAGTGCCACTTCTTGCACCTTTATGAATATGTTGACATGCTAGTAATTTTTATGGTTCATGGGTGTTGCATCTTGGTAGGACTGCTTAATTGATTCACTTCCTTGGCAACTGACATTATTTTCTGGAACCATGGAAGCTAGACCACAGGAAATAGGCTTTCAGGGCAGATTCAGATTGAATCTTCTGAGTCATGTGTCCTAAGTGTGTGGTGCATTCAGCATTAGGGGCCCACCCTCAACCCCTGATAGGCAATTAAAGGTCCATCAATAGTCTTTAATGTTTGTGAGTCATGTATTATTGGGCCTTCAATTCTGTTAAGTTCGTATATAAAATTGTTAGTGATTTGAAGGCAGTGTGTTAGTTAGGTTTTCTATTACTGATTTGCTGTTTTATATTGATGAAACACCATGGCTAAAACAACTTAGCAGGAAAAGATTTACTTTACTTATAGTCCCATATCATAGTTCATCAACAAATGCAATCGGGCAGGAATTCAAAGCAGGAATATGGAGGCAGGAGCTGATACAGAGATCATGAATGAGTGCTGCTTACTGGCTTGGTACTCATGGAATGCTCAGCCTACCTTCTTATAGAATCTAGAATCACCAGCCTAGGGATTGCACCACCCACAGTGGGCTGGGCCCTCTCTCATTTATTAGTAACTAAGAAAATGCTCTACAGGCTTGCCTACAGCTTGATCTTATAGAAACATTTTCCAAGTTGAGGTTCCATTCTCTCTGATGACTGTAGTTTTTGTGAGGTTGACATAAAAACTAGCCAGCACAGACATCAATTAGATAATATATTATTATCATAAGGAGATAGGAGTATAGAAGAATACTGCTCATAGATTAAGGGATACAAAAAGAAATTAGTACACAGTGTCAGTATCATTTGCAGGAGCTTTATGATGTTTTATAGTCGCCAAACTCTTCTAAAACATTTCCGTCTTATAACTTGTTTTCTAGCCACTTTTACATCCTTTTCTTTTAAAAAAATATGATGGTTGCTATAGACATATGATGAAACAGATATATAACTAAACTTCCTGCCATTATAAGGATTAGGCAGTATGAGAAACTGAGAGACTAAAGGCTTTCTTCACCATCCAGGGGATAATTCTCAGGTTAATCTTGAATAAAGAATTCCAGTGAACATGTAGAAATGAGAGTAAGAACAAAATGGCAGCTTCCTGCAGATACCGTGGTATTTCGAAGCAGAAGGATTTTACTTAATGGGATAGATATCTCAAATGTATACTGGTGCCTTTTCCTAGACTTCATGAAAGGCATGCCTCTGCCTGTTTTCCCTTCCAAAAGGCTTTGGTGACTGGAAATACCATGATAGTAATCAGATCTGGTCCCACTGTTCTCTACCCTATGGTGTGACATTCTGTTTTTGTGCTTGCTCCCCAGGGCATACATGAGTGTGAAAGAGCTAAAGGAGATCTTGCAGCTCAACAGTACTCACTTCCTCAATGTCTACTTTGCCAGTTCAGTTCGGGAAGACCTTGCAGGTTCTGCCACATGGCCCTGGGACAAAGAAGCTCTCAGTCACCTGGGTAAGTGATGTGACGAACAGTGGTAGATAAAAGAAAGAACATCTCAGAAGAGTTTGTGACAGTGAGTTCGGGGGAAAAAGGAAAGGTGAGAAATATGAAGTCAGTGAATTAACAGCTTGAGGTTGAGAAAGACAGTCGGGTAAGTCAATAAAAATGCTTCAAAGTAAAAACTAAGAGGTGGTAGATCAAACACCCAGAATGCTCTAAACTGATTCTATATTCTAGAGATAGACCAGTCCTGGTGGCTACAGGCCTTTAATCCTAGCTACAAAGGATATTCGTGCTAAAAGATCATATTTCAAAGCTTGCCTAGGCTATAGAGTACATTCAAGGACAGCCTGGGCTACTTAATGAGTAGTGGTTTGGTGATTGTGTTATCAAATGAAAATCAAAAAGAAAAATTATATTGCATTCATAAACTTTCAACAACTATTGTTGACTACACTGGGTCTGAATACGAATGGGCTCACCAACAGCCAGACAAGTGTAGGAGAAAGAGTTAGGGGACCCTATCATTCACTGTTAGGCAGACTCAGGAAAATGAGTTATTGGCTCAGATGTATACACACTTGTGACACAAACAGGCTCCAATGTGCAGTCACAACTCAACGGTACACATAGGTAACCATGGTTAAAATAAATGGATCACAAAATAGTCATGAATCTGGGAAAGAAACAGGTAGTTGGTTGGGCTAATAGGGATATGAGAGATTTAAGAGAGGGTATGGGATAAATAGCTAGAATGTAGCATATACATGTACAAAATTGCAGAAGAGCTAGCTTTTTTTTTTTAAATGAGGTCTCAGTGTCATGGAGTATATGATGCTAGGCATGGATGGTAGAGACAAGAAATATTACTACTTCAAGGTCACCTTGGGCAACAAAGTGAGATCATTATTCAATTAATTAGTTAATTAATTAAAAGCCTAAACAACACCAGCTACATAACCCTGCATGGAAATAAATTGTTAGGGTTAGGTCCAATTCATTAGATCCATTTTAAGTCTTGGAGAGGTCTAAAGGGGAAAGTATCACTAAGGTAGCCAAAGTGTAACCTGGCTTAGTAATGCTATATCAGAAAGCTAGTGGGCCTTTTGCTTAACTCAGACACTCAAGAAGACCCCTAAGAAATTCAGGCAGGTTTCAGCTATACATTTCCAGGATGACTAGGTAAACTGGAGGTACCTTGTGTTCTTCATGAAGGCCATTGTGAATTATTATAGCCTCTCTGATGACAGTGGGTGTACTAGAGGGTCCTCATCAAATAATCTAATCAAGAGTGAGTTTGGGTGATTTGTATTGCTTCCCCAAAACAATAGTAGGAGAGAAGACAGAAAGCACTGTGAGGAAGCACATCTCTAATCTCCAAGGGTCACTTTTTTGGTAGATGTGTGAGGGGCTTTGACAGCAAGGTATACCCAGCAGCTGTTGGGTTTCAATTTTAAATCTTAAAAAGTGATCTTTCTGGTCTTTCTGGAAATAAATCTGGCCATTTGACAAGAGTTGTTGGGATGGGACAGATTATTGAATGTCTGGTAATTTTTTTTAGATATGAAAGCCTGATCAAGATTCATCCAATAATGCAAAAATAGATGAACTGCTTGAACATTAGCTATGGGGTAACATCAGACATGAGGACTCAAGGTATCTAATCCCAGAGAAAGAAAAATATGTACAGTTGAGCGCTATAATATAACCCATATAACCCATATTTTTTCTTTCAAGGAAATCACCAAAGTCCCAGTAAAGGACTAGAATCAGGGCAGAAACAGCAGTCCAGAGTTTGCTTCAGACTCAGTGGGAGCCAGAGAGTTCAGGCCCAAGATCGCAGGGAAATAGAAAGCACGAAGTGGGCTCTATGTCCAACTCATGATTATCCTCTCAGAATATTCACTAATTATTTAAGTATGCATTTGCAGAGCCAAAGCCTAGAAACTAATTCCAAAATGACTTCTAAGAGATTAAAAACGGAAGTGGTGACTTCAAAAGTCACATGACATAAAGGAAAGAAAATGAGATTGGATTCTGTCAAAGAGAAGGAGTACCAAAGACATGCTCGATGCACAAGCATAGAGGAGGTTGGTTCACACTGGGTTCGGATCCAACCAGAAGCCCTCTCAGTTCCTTATGGAAAATTATCTTGTCTAAGCAAGGGACAACATCTTCTGGGAGGGACAATAGCAAAGGAGCACTTTTCATAGTATTATATATAGTATCCAGCAGTCAATATAAAATAACTTAATATTTTCAGGAAATACAGTCAAATGAAGGAAAACCAATTCAATGACAAAGACAAGACAACATGACCAATAGATTATTTAGATGTTACAGGGTTTAGACACTGGACTGATGCATAAAAATGGCTAATGTGTAAAACTACATGAGAGCTAGGGAGCTAGCTCAGACAGCTGGATCCCACAGGAAACCATCACGTGAAATGTTAGAGATAAAAAGTAGTGTCAGTAGTTCAAATTCAAGAATTGGTCAAAAGCGTGTGATAAAGAAGTAAAGTCATAAAAGGAATGCTAGAAATTGAAGCTAAGAGAAAAAGGTGATGAAAAAAATAAAAAAAACTGTCTTTAGAAATACTCAATTCATTAGATTACTTAATTAAAAATTACTAATGAGATCTGGAAGACTAGAATGGAACTGAAATGGAAATAATATTCACAGAGAGAATGGCTGATCACCTTTCAAACTGACATAAGTTATCAATTCATGTATCAGAGATGTTTTATGAGTGCCAAAGAAAACAGGGTCAAAGAAGAGTCTTTCTGGACTATGGCAACAAAAGTGATGAAAACCAAAGACAAAGAGAAAAGTCCTCAGGTCAGACAGTGGGAAAACATTTGTATTATCTGAGAAGTCTGCTAATAAGATGGACCTGTTATCTCATCAATGAAAACTGCATGATGTCAAATATTGGGCTGATAGCATTTTCATGTTAAAGAAAATAGTTGCTAACATAGAATTCTAAATTTGATAAAAAAATCATCTGAAAAGTAAAAAAATGTATAAAATAATTTCAGATAAATATAATCAGAGATAATTTATTCTAATGCCAAGAGACATCCTGGAAAAGGTTACAAAACAGGAAGCAAACAATTTGGGGTGGAGACTGAGACATAGGAAAAGTAACAGTTGATGCTGGAGAGAATAAAAACATCAAAACATGCAACAGTGTCTTTGCTTTATACATATGTTGAATTAAAATGTAAAGTGTTATAAAAGACAAAAAAGGGGGGTCAGGAAATTAAAGCATTTAAGGGTCCCCCCTTTTTGTTGTTCAGAAAAAGTACTGATTTCATATAATTTTAAGCATAATATTAAAATTGATATGGGAATCTTTAGATTTTCTTTCTATCTAAAGATGGACTGATTAGTGAGATCCTAATGAATGGAAAGAGGCCGGAGTGATGGCCCAATGGGTAAGAGTGCATACTACTCATACAGAGGATCCAGGTTCAGTTTCCAGCACCCACACCAAGTGACCTCAATAACCTGTAACTATCTCTGAGGTTCTGATACCCTCTTGGATTCTGTGGGTACCCACACTCATGTGAAAATATCTACACACACACACACACACTCCAAAAATATCTAAAAAAAAAACCCAAAACAACCCAAACCCCATGAAACCCTAAAAAGGAAAAACTAATATAAGAACACAAGTGGATAAAGTAGAAGTATAAGGAAGTATAATAAATACAATGGAAATACTATTCCAAACAAAAGCAGTTTTCTAATATCAGATGAAGTACACTTTAAGGTAGTAATATCAGAAATAAATCAGGCTATTTTTTTTTAATAAAAGAGTAAACTCAATTACAAAATATAGTTGTGATAAATTTGGTTGTGACAATTAGCATGGTCTGAAAAAATATATCCATCTATAGAAAAACAAGCAAAACTACAGTCATAACTGGTGGTTTTAGGTAGTTTTCTTAGAAAATGATAGGATAAATAAATATTCAGTATATATTCGGATATTTAATAGATATGGTTAAAAGTTTAGCTCAAAAGAATCAGATTGTGTATTTATGCAGAGCAGAACACATATTCTTTTCATATGCCATGGAAAACACAAGGAAGGAGTTCTTGACCGCAGAGTAATTTTAGAGGATTGAAGTCATAAAACTCTGTTCTCTCATCTCATTGTAAATAAGCTAGAAATCAAATGATAAGACAATAAAAATGAGGAAACCTTTGACTATTTAGAAATTAAGAAATATACTTTTAATTAACCATAGGCCAAATTATAGTGGAAACAGGAAACTATTTTTAAATAAAATGATTAAAACCTGTTATAAAATCTTTTGTGCCTATGGAGACACAAGCAGAGGAAACTTGTAGCTTTGCTTATTAGAAAAGGAGGAAGTCTGCGTATCAAGCCAGCAAAATACAACATATTAAACTCAAAGAAAGGAGAAGAAGAAAGTAGTAAAATCAAGACAAGAAATAAATTTGTTCAAAATAAATTTTCATTAGAAAAAAATTTAACAGATTAAAAAGTTTTTGAGGAGAGAAAACAAGTCATGGGGAAGTGAATTGATTAATAACTGGGAAGACAAACTCATCAATAAAACCAATGACAGAAAAAGAATCTATACTTTCATAAAAAGTGCTTTACTGGGCTGGAAATGATGGTGCATACCTTTAATCCCAGCACTCAGGAAGCAGAGCAAGGCATATTCTCTGTATTTGAGGCCAGCATGGCCTATACAATGAGTTTCAGGCCAGCCAGAACTGCATATAACTGATATCTATCCTTAACAGGCAATAATTATTTTTAACTAGTGGATTTGGAGCAGTTGTATATCCACAGGCAACAGAAAATGAGCCTCAGTCTGAACTTCACAACTTATAGATAAATTAAGTCAAAATAGAGCATATACTTAAGTGTAGAAAATGAAACTATAGAGTGTCTAGTGGAAAATACAGGCAAAACCCTTTAGAATAGGGCTGAGCAAGAAGTGCATATGTAAAATGCTAGAAGTATG